GAACATTCCCACCTGAAGTTCTAAAGCTTTTGAGGGCCCACCCTAAACCCTAAACCCTAAACCCTAAACCCTAAACCCTGAACCCTAAACCCTAAACCCTAAACCCTAAACCCTAAACCCTCATGAGAGCCTGGAGAGAAAACACCCGAAACCTCCAGCGGCCCCAGAGCAAACGAAGTGAGCACTCCCAGACCGACCTGCCTTAGCGTTTAGGGGCTGAAGGGCTTTGGTGGTTGTGGTTGGTTTAGGGTTTAGGGTCTAGGGTCTAGGGTCTAGGGTTTAGGGTTTAGGGTTTAGGGTTTAGGGTTTAGGGTTTAGGGTTTAGGGTTTAGGGTTTAGGGTTTAGGGTTTAGGGCTTCGGGCTTAGGGCTTGGGGCTTAGGGCTTAGGGCTTAGGGTCTAGGGTTTCAGGTTCAGAGTTTAGGGTTTAGGGGCTCCTCAAGCTACGTAAAGTGACGGGTGCGTCTTCTTCCTCCTGGGGCCTTGGGAAGCAAAAGACCAAAATAAAGCACCGAAACATATACATTGGGATGTTCACCCTCATACTACCAGTCATTTTTATAGGGATTCCTGGCCCCGTTACTGGTGTGCCTGATTATCGGAATTCCGCATTGGCACACATCTTGACCCGAGACCACAACAGTGGGGAATACTCCGAAAAAAACTCGGAACACGTGGCCCTGCACCATGCGTGAGTCTGGCTGGGTCGGAGTAGGCACCGGGCCTTTGCAACCTCGTCGCCACTGCCCTCTAGTCATTCCCTCAGAAAATGTTCCTAACCCCTGACCATAAAGCCGTCAACACATGCACCTTGCCCCAAACCGCTTGCATCAAACGCTGCAAGCAAATGTGCCTTGTGCATTACCGCTTGAACAGGCAGAGGCGAACATGTCTGGGGCAAGGAATTCTGCTTGCTTTTGGACCTCCTCGCCTCACATGGCTACGCACAAGCACCGCAGAAAACTCATACTAGGCCATGCAATGGCTGCGCGTTTTGTCGCCACCGGCCAAAACCAAGCCAGGCTTGAGGGCATGTGAAGGTCTGAGGGTTTAGGGTTTAGGGTTTAGGGTTTCGGGTTTAGGGTTTAGGGTTTAGGGTTTAGGGTTTAGGGTTTAGGGTTTAGGGTTTAGGGTTTAGGGTTTAAGGTTTAGGGTTTAGGGTTTAGGGTTTAGGGTTTAGGGTTTAGGGTTTAGGGTTTAGGGTTTAGGGTTTAGGGTTTAGGGTCTTTAAGGGGTGTAGGTTTGGAACTGTTGGGCTTGGCGGTTCAGGGCTGTTAGAACCCTCTACCAAGTAAGGGCACACGTGCACCCTGAAATCTTTAGTCAGAGAAGTCCTTGCGAAACCCGAAATCCCAGGGTCTAAAGCTGCTAGGGCCTCAAACCTACACCCTTAGGATTTACGGTTTAACTAGGAGCCGAGGTCAAGATTCTGTGCCTGGATTCACTTCGGAGTTCGAGAACGCACCTGGCTTCGGATATGCTCCATATTGTACACTGCTGGCCCGGGCGATCAGCCCGTGCCTATCGAGCTACACCGCTATCCGGGCGGCTCAGGGTTTACAGCCGCTTGACAGTCCCCGTTTCCGCAAGCCCCACTAGCGTTTGGAGGTTTAGGGTATAGGTAGGGCTTGGGGCTTGTTGGTTTTAGGGTTTGGGGTTTAAGAAGCCACGAGCTGCAGAACCCTGAGCCTCACGCGGAAGCGCTCTGACAAAAGTTTGAAACCTGATGGCGACACTTCGGTTTTGTCCAACGTGTCGTTGGTGCATTGAATTTGGCTCGAATTGCTGCATCGGGCTGCATCGGCCCCTTACAAAGCGCCTTGGCTCCGCTTCGGGTGCATGACATGACCCGGTACAATTACACGGACCTGTCTTATACTTCAACTCTCTAAACCCTAAGACCCTAAACCCTAGACCCTAAACCCTAAGACCCTAAACCCTAAGACCCTAAACCCTATCTGAGCCCCATTTAAACATGCTCCTTGAGGCGGTGAACCTCCGTTCACGCCTCGTAGGGGAAAGAAGCCTCAAGCGGCCAAAGGGAGGTCACGCTCAGCCCCACCGTCTTCCGATCGGTGACGCCGGTGCCGCCGGTGACGGCGGTGACGGCGGTGACGGCGGAATGGGCCTGGGGTCTGTTTGGCTTGGGGCTTTCGGTGTTCGACATTTGCTTCTACCCCGTTCCAACCTGTTCCCATCGCCACCGAATCCCCTTTCCAGAGCCCATTGTCGAAATCGGGAGGAGATGCCCAACACCGACAGCTTTATCGGGACACATGGCTGAGACTTGTGAGCGCCAGCTACCCTGACAAAACGACCGAAACCATCCGAACCCCGATGCTTGGCTCGGAGGCGCAATGGAGAAAGACCCATTGGAGCAGTTTTGGGTTAGGGTCTTAGCCTAAGCTCAGGAGTGCAGATCTTTTGGTGAAATACCGGCCGCGATCTTTCTGAAGACTCCTTCACCCCGGCCAAGCGCCATATCCTCAAAAGCAAGGCGCTGTAGTAGTCGTAGGGCCTTAGTTGCGTATGCTAGGGGCATCCCCCACAGCCGTGCAGACCCATCTGAAGGCACATAAGTCGTCGACGCAAACGCGCATTCCCAGAACACAGTGGCTTGAAAGCGCGAAGTTCGTTTTGTTTTTCACCCTCCTCAACCCTCCAAAACGCTGGGTTTAGGGTTTGGGGTTTGGGGTTTGGGGTTTGAGGTTTGGGGTTTGGGGTTGGGTTGGGGGTTTGGGGTTTGGGGTTTGGGGTTTGGGGTTTGGGGTTTGGGGGTTTGGGGGTTTGGGGTTTGGGGTTTGGGGTTTGGGGGTTTGGGGTTTGGGGTTTGGGGGTTTGGGGTTTGGGGTTTGGGGTTTGGGTTTTGGGGTTTGGGTTTTGGGGTTTGGGGTTTGGGGTTTGGGGTTTGGGGTTTGGGGTTTGGGGTTTGGGGTGCGTGAAGCGAGGGTGCGCGCTCGGATGTGAAACGCCCCGGGCCGCGTGCTCGCGTTGCCTGTCAACCCACCCCGGCCACCCAAACTGTACTCTATTAGGGCTTTGGGTTTATGATTTTTTTAATGCGCCCATGCTTGTTTCTTGATTACCCTAAACCCTAAACCCTAAACCCTAAACCCTAAACCCTGAGGTTGCACTAGGGGGAAAGCCTCGACCCATGTCGGGCCTTCAAACTTGCCAGGCCTAGTGAGGCCCCTGCCCAATTCAAACCGAAAGCCCCCGGTTTAGGGTTTAGGGTTTAGGGTTTAGGGTTTAGGGTCTAGGGTTTAGGGTTTAGGGTTTAGGGTTTAGGGTTTAGGCTTAGTGGAACCGAAGTCAAGCCGTTTTGAAGGCTAAGGTTCCCTTTCAGAGGGGGAGGGGGGGGGGTCAAGGGGGGTGGGGAGGTCTGAGACGATTTTGCCTTTGAAAGAATGGAAAAAGGGTCACGGGAAGCTCTGGGAAAAATCTTTGGCGCCTGAAGAGGTCCGGAGCTCGGAGGCACAAGGGGTCTGTCAGCCCCAAAATCTAAAGAATTGGAGCCACTTTCTACCATCTTTGCATTAACAAAACCCTAGAATACAAAAGAATCGTGCGCACAAAACGCCTGCAGTTTATGTTCTGTCATGGGTGCTAGCCCACCCCTTGTTCAAATACTGAGGTTGAGGGCCAACATCCGCTCGCCTGTCCAGGACGCGGTAGGGCTCAACCCTCACCTTTCCGTCTCTCTTTTCGTATGGGCGCCCTGAGTCCCTTCGCCAAGCGTCCGGGGTCTGTCACTCAGTGTAGGGTTTAGGGTGCAGGTAGGGCCCCGAGACCCTCAGAAGGTTGGCCAGCAGGGAGCTTAGGGCTTCGGCTTCGGCGCTCAGAGCCTCTCGGAGCCCAAACCGAGGCCGCGGCTGGTAGGAGTAGGGGCCCTTGCTGGTACCTGAGAGCTGCACTTCATTGGCCAGGGGTTTCGGGGGTTTTCCCTAATCCCTAAACCCTAAACCCTAAACCGCAAACCCAACGCAGGATAATGTCTCGAGGTCTGAAATGAATGCTCAGGTTGGCGAATGGAGAAGAGGGCGGAGTGTTCTCCACGAGCTTGGGAAAGCTTGGTTTTTGGCACCGGGGCGCGGGGTGTGGGTTAGGGCTGAAGGGATTCTGGCTGCAAGAGCTTCTGGCTTCAGGACTCTTTAACTAAACAAGCCCGGCGCATCCCAGCCCAAAACCTGAACTCAAGCCCGCAAACCTTTGTGACCCTGTCAAAGGCCCAGCTGCCCGCAGTGGACGATGTGGTTGCGGGCTCCGTGGTGGTTGTGGTCACGTCTGGAGCTGTTGTAGGTCCCTCCGCGGTGGTCGTTGTGGACGCCTCCGTCGTGGTGGTGGTGGTGGTGGTGGTGGTGGTGGTGGTGGTGGTGGTGGTGGTGGTGGTGGTGGTGGTCGTGGTTGTTGTGGTTGTTGTGGTTGTTGTGGTTGTGGTGGTTGTTGTGGTTGTGGTGGTTGTTGTGGTTGTGGTGGTTGTGGTGGTTGTGGTGGTTGTGGTGGTGGTTGTAGTAGTGGTGGTGGCTGTGGCTGTGGCTGTTTCTGTGGTGGCGGTGGTGGTTGTGGTTGTTGTGGTTGTTGTGGTTGTGGTGGTAGTTGTGGTTGTTGTGGTTGTGGTGGTTGTTGTGGTTGTGGTGGTTGTGGTGGTTGTGGTGGTTGTGGTGGTGGTGGTGGTGGTGGTGGTGGTGGTGGTGGTGGTGGTGGTTGTGGTGGTGGTGGTGGTGATGGTGGTCGTTGTCGTCGTCGTCGTGACCTGAGCTCGCAGTGCCAGAACCATTACTCACGTTGACACAGCGCCAACACTGAGAACACTTAGATATCCCCACACCTCGACCCCTTCAGGCCCCCGAAAGCCAAAGCACTCAAGACTCTGGCCGACCAAAAGCACAGAAGACCTGTTCCACCACCAGTTATCTTGAGGGTCACGAGTCACGATTTGCGTTTTTTTTGCGAAGGCCCAGGAACAAACCCTGAAAGCCATAACATCTTGAACCCAAGTGCCGGATCAGGGAAGGGGGTTGGAGCAGTCAGGCAGTTCAGGCCGTCGTTGGAGAAGACCTGAGCAGAGTTGTTCACCTCAGCGTCGCGGCTGCTGTGCTCGCAAGACTGGGCTTCCTCCTTTGTTGGGACAAGTCCGATGAAATTTTCGGGGTCAGGGATCTAAACCCTAAACCCTAAACCCCAAACCCTAAACCCTAAACCCTTCAGTTCGGAACCTTCTTGAAAGGCGCAAGACACGGAATTTTCGGTGCCCAGTCGCGAACCCTGCGACCACCGTCTGGCTGGCCAAGTTCCTTTCATGCCCGCTGGGGATCGGGGCGTCTTCTAAACCCCAAACCCTAAACCCTAAACCCTAAACCCTAAGTGTTTGTTTCGTGGGGGGAACTGCGTGAACTTTGAGGCTCGTCGTGTCAGCGGGCTAGGCCGGCAGAGCCAGCTGAGCTGTTCTGAAAACATCCCGAAACCCTAAACCCTAAACCCTAAACCCTAAACCCTAAATCCTAAACCCTACCCCTTACACCCTAAAATCAAGGCTTCTTGAAATTCTTGGGGCTCCAGTACTCAGCCCATCCACGGAAGGCCCTGTCTTCGGTGCATCTTCTAAGCTGACCAGTTTAGGGTCTCGGGTTTATTGAAATTATTGTAAGGGTTCAGGTCCGGAGAAAGTTTCAAGGAGTTTCGGGGAGTTTCTGTTTTCGGCTTTTTTCTTATTTTTAAATTCCAGGGGCTTGAGGATTTAGGGTTTCGGGTCATCCTCCTCCTGCGCGCTTCGCTACGTCAGAAGACCGCCGGGCAACTCCTGAAGAAGGAACACTTGCTTCACCCTTCCCTAATCCCTCACGTTTTTGAAACCCTCCAAAAGCCACTCGTGTTCGGCCCCAGTGCCGTGAACCAAGGCTCGCAGTGTCCACCTCGACTTCGAAGACCTCGCCGAAGTCGTTGTATGCCTTGGAGGGCTTAGGGTTTAGGAACATAGGGTTTAGGGTTGAGATTTTGGGTTTAGAGTTAAGGGTGAAAGGGTTTCGGGTTTAGGGATTTTCTCTTGGGGTTCTGGGCAAACGCTGGAGTTTAGGGGCCTTTGGGGTTGTTTGACAAGTTGAGCCGGGTGATTTGCCCCGGCAACTGAGCGCATGGCCTCCGGGCGCAAGGAGGCTCAAGGCTTCTACTGAAAACGAAACACTACAGAACGCTCCTACCTTGAGCCCTGAAACCTCTAAAACCACCTCCATGCCAAGCCTGGCAAAAACTCCGAAAGGCCCGCGAAGCTGAGAAACAGCCCCCCCTAAACCCAAAAGCCTAGAACCCTAAACCCTAAACCCCAAACCCGAAACCCTTAAACCCTAGACCCTAAACCCTAAACCCTTAAACCTAGACCCTAAACCCTAAACCCTAAACCCTAAACCCTGAACCCTAAACCGTGAGGTTGATGGTTTTGGGGGGCCTTTGCTTGCTCTGCAGCGGATTTTGAGCTAAATCTTCAGGCATGCCGCGCAGAAGACCCGACCCTGGAACTCCCACTGGGCTCCTCACACAAGCAGCTTGTGGCTTCGTGGGTTTAGGGTTTAGGTTTAGGGTTTAGGGTTTAGGGTTTAGGGTTTAGGGTTTAGGGTTTAGGGTTTAGGGTTTAGGGTTTAGGGTTTAGGGTTTAGGGTTTAGGGTTTAGGGTTTAGGCTGTTGGGCGCTTTTGTGGAGGTTTCAAGAGGCCTCTAGGACTTGCTGAGAGGGCGTTCGCAAGGCAGGGAGGCCGCAGGGCAGAATCCGTGCGAGTTGAGGGCTACGACGTCTCGGTTGAGCCGTCCAATCCCTAAGGGTCCATGTACCTGTATGGTATATACTTGGCCCCTAAAGCTACTATATAGGAACCCCTTTAAGGCCCAAGTATATACCATATAAGTGCATGGACCCTTTGGGAATGCCGTCAAATCTTCAGGGCTCTGATTTGGGCGAAGGCTCCGGAAGCTTTCAAGGAACGGCCTCTTAAGGCATAAGGCCTTGCCATGGCCTTTTCGCCACAAGCTTGTTGACCCGCTGGGTGTACGAAATGCTCAAAACCCTAAACCCTAAACCCTAAACCCTTAAAGCTCCGGGATGACAAGCGCGAGTCGGTTGTGGCAGAGTGGGGGCACTGCGCTTGCAGGAACTGGGGCAAATCTTTGGATGTTCCCCCTTCGGGTTTAGGGTTTAGGGTTTAGGGTTTAGGGTTTAGGGTTTAGGATTTAGGGTTTAGGGTTTAGGGTTTAGGGTTTAGGGTTTAGGGCTTAGGGTCTAGTACCCACTACATAGTCCTGTTTAAAGGTTGTTACAACAAGGGGGGTGACATCCCAAGAGTCTTCTTGTTCTAACAGCCCTGAATCGGAAATATAATAGGGGGTACAAAATCAACATCAAGGACAAGGAGGAACATCCCAAGAGTCATCTGCTTCGGGCCGCGCTTGGCGAGGACTCCCTAAACCCTCAACGCTAAACCCTCAACCCGGTTCCCTCAGCCCTAAACCCTGAACCCTGAACCCTAAACCCTCAACCCTCAACCCTAAACCCTAAACCCTGAACCCTGAACCCTCAACCCTAAACCCTCAACCCTAAACCCTAATCCTCAAGAAACACCCCGAAGCCCCGCCTGAGATTCCTCGGGGCCTCGACCCGACCATGGTCAGGTTGAAGAAGTTGGTCGGCACCCTAAAAGGGGATTTTGAAGGGGCATCTTAAGGGGGATCTTAAGGGGACTGTTAAGGGGATCTTAAGGGGACTTTGAAAGGATCTTAAGGGGACTTTGAGGGGATTTTCAGGCGATCTTAAGGGGCACTTTTGACGGGCATCTTTTGAACACGAAATAGATCTGAGACCAGCCGGATCCGGACAAGCCTGAAAGGGCCTGAACCAAGGACTTATGCCTTACCACGACTGAGGGGACTGATGCCCCTTAAGGGGACTTTGGGGGACTTTGGGGTGATTTTGGGGGGGATTTTGGGGTGGATTTTGGGGATTTTTAAGGGCATTTTAAAGGGCATTTTAAGGGGCATGTTCAGGCGATCTTAAGGGCAGTTGAAGGGGACCTTAAGGGGATTTTAGGGGGATTTGGCTTTTGCTGGAACTTGTGAGGGTTTGAGAGTTGGAGAGTTTGGGGGGTTCTGCAGCTCTTGAAGGCCGAACACCCGAGCCAAGTAGCCCTACAAGATCACGCGGCGTTGGCAAAGACGGAAGAGACGGAGAGCGAGAGAGGGAGAAAACAAAAACACAACAAAAACAAAAAGAATCACTAAACAGCTATGCTGTGAATCAAAATGCTTTCTCCTGCACGTGGCGTCCTAGAAATGTTTTCGATGCTGTCCGATGTTCGACTTGTGTTTTGATACTGCGTCGAGTTGCTGGTCTCTTCTTTGCATATTCTCTGCTCCTCCTCACGTCATCTTGCGGTCGTCTGCTTCGCTCCGCCCCAAAACCCTCCCAAGTCGAAACCTGAATTTAGGGTTTAGGGTTTAGGGTTCAGGGTTTAGGGTTTAGGGCTTAGGGTTTAGGGTTTAGGGTTTAGGGTTTAGGGTTTAGGGTTTAAGGTTTAGGGTTTAGGGTTTAGGGTTTAGGGTTTAGGGTTTAGGGTTTAGAGCCCAAACTCTAGGGGCCCCATCATGGATTCTGCTAAGCCCAACTCCACTCTCGAAGTCTGACCGAGACGTGGTGATTTTGAGCCAGGCAGCTCCAAGGACTGGAACATCACCTGCAGAACGGGAGCGGCGGTGTCAAAGGTACAACTTTAACCACCCCCCCCCCCTTTTTCGCCCGCAACCACAGCTCCAGAATCCTAAGTTTTTGTGGGCTCTGCTAAACTTTGGCAGCATGGCTTGGTGTTGATTCGGCTTGGCTTTGGCTCGGCGCAGCTTCTCTCGTCGCTCTCTGGCCCTTCGGATCTCTGCGGTGTCTTCATGTGCTCGTTGAGTCTCGTTCAATTCTGTTCGTTTGTTCCCGTTTCCTGGGCTGATTGTTGTAGCACTGCCTTACCTGCTCGCTTCCCTCTTTGCTTCGGTTGAAGAATATGGTTGGTGAAAGGGGAGAGGAAGTCTGAAAGTTCGCGTGCTCCTGCCTCTTCTATACCCTGCTTCTGAATGCTGAAAAGGAGAAAAGACCCCAACGCCCTAAGCCCAGAAGCTAAAAAAACCTCTGACTCAGCCACGTTCGACAAGGCAAGAGCAAAAACAAGACCCTAATCCCTAAACCCTAAACCCGTCTCTCGCAATTGTGAGAAAGTTGGAAGTTTAGGAACTTGAGGGCTTTGCAGGAATTTGAAGGCTTTTTTGAGTTCGGCCGGGGGGGAGGGCTTAGGGCTTAAGGTTTAGGGTTCAGGGTCAGGGTTCAGGGGTTTAGGGTTTGGGGCTTACAAGGGCTCAGCATTCAGCATTCCTCAGACCAGGGGCATAGTTGTCGTTGCAGGAGATGGTGAAATTCTGGTCCCCCGTCTGGTTGCCCAAGTCCACTCTGGGCCGCATTTCATGGGCTTGGCTTCCAGGGCTGCCAGGGCTTTTGCAGCCTCTACGAAGCCTGTACCAAAAGCTTTTCTGAGCATTGTAGGGTTTAGGGTTTGGCAACCCAAACACTACAAGGCGCCACATCATGGACAAAGTCGCCCATGTAAGGGAAACACCCCCACCCCCCTGTCCCCAACAATAAACAACAAAACCTACGACCTGGATCTTGGATTCTTTGGCAGCCCAGTCCAGGGTTAAGGGGCTTTTGAGCCTGAGGGGCCTGAGGGGGCCTGACGGACCTGGATCCGAAAAGTCTCGAAAAGTCTAGGTCCTTCATGCGCTATTTATTCTCCCCACGGCAACCATGTCCACTTACCTTCAACCCTAAGCCCTAAGCAGCCCTAAAACCCAAAACCCCTAAACCCTAAACCCTAAACCCTAAACCCTAAACCCTAAACCCTAAACCCTTCTTTGGCCGGAGGGCTCCCGGACCGTGAGGTCGAAGCCGTTGATCTGCTCCGTCTGGCCCGGGTTCGTCACGTTCTGGGCCAGCGGCCCTTGGCATCGGGTTTAGGGTTTAGGGTTTAGGGTTTAGGGTTTGGGGTTTAGGGTTTAGGGTTTAGGGTTTAGGGTTTAGGGTTGAGGGTTGAGGGTTTAGGGTTTAGGGTTTAGGGGCTTTGAGGGCTTCGGGGTCTGGGGGTAGGCTGCTGCAGGGTTTGTTAGACTCTTGGCTGCATGGCTACCGGCCCCCCACACACAAGCGAACTCAGCCTCCCTAAACATAAATCCTAACACCAAACCCTAAACCCTAAACCCTAAACCCTAAACCCTAAACCCTAAACCCTAAACCCTAAACCCGAAACCCCAACCACTCAGCAAAGGCAGAGGAAGACCATTTTCAAGGCAAAGCAAGGCCCAGGGGCGGAGGTCGAAGGACACGTTGTCGGACGCGATGGGCCGCCGATCATAGGCCGGAAGCATGTCCAAGCCTTCCAAAAAAGGGTTTAGGGTTTAGGGTTCAGGGTTCAGGGCTTAGGGCTTAGGGCTTAGGGCTTAGGGCTTCTGTTGAAGTCTTCTAGGGCTTTTTTTTGGGGGGCTCGGAAGGGCAGGGGGGCTCAGGGGGGTTTGGGGCTTTTTTGCGGGGCTTTTGGAGTCACAACTACGGATTCAGGGTTGGAGCAGATAAGATAGGAATAGGACGGGGGGACTCGGGTGGTGGAAGGTGTGGGGCGGGAGAACGGTCCGTCGGGGTTTGGGGTTTGGGCACCGGGGCCCAACGGTCTCGTCCCCAAGGAACCCTTCAAAAGTCCCAAACCCCAATCCCCAACACCCTGAACCTCTAAGCCCTGAACCCCTAAACTTGAGGAACCCAAAGTTGCGTCCAATGCCCTGAGGCAACTCTTGGCTCCCAGGCCGTCTTGAAAGAAGAGCCCCCCTTCATCTGCGATGAAGACCTTCAGGGTTTGGAGGGTTTCAGGGTTCAGGGGTCTAGGGGGATGAAGGTCTTCTTCTGGAATGTTAAACGATCCTCCGCTGCGGGGAATTTAGGCTGGGCTACTCGCATGTGGCGCCTTTGAAAGACATGGAAGTGCGCTCAAGCCGTCTAGAGTTCTGAGCTTCGGGGCACAAGGCATCCGGGTGCACGCTGAATCTTGAAACCGCAGCCACATCAAGCGCGGCGGCAGAAGGTGAGCGAGATGGACTTGGGGTTGTCACTGCGTGGGGACAGCAACACTGGTCTTAGGGCCTTAGGGCGTCTCCGCACCCTAAGAAAACCCTAAACCCTAAACCCTAAACCCCCACAAGAGCTCAGCCAGGTTGCGTAGCGGCCGTCGAGGCTGAAGCCCGCAGACACGGAGGAGCGCTGGGTTCCTTTAACTCTTTCGTAGGGATGGCTTCACCAGGATGGGCTAGGGTTTAGGGTTTAGGGTTTAGGGTTTAGGGTTTAGGGTTTAGGGTTTAGGGTTTAGGGTTTAGGGTTTAGGGTTTAGGGTTTAGGGTTTAGGGTGTAGGGTGTAGGGTTTAGGGTTTAGGGTTTAGGGTTTAGGGTTTAGGGTTTAGGGTTTAGGTTTAGGGTTTAGGGTTTAGGGTTTAGGGTTTAGGGTTTAGGTTTAGGGTTTAGGGTTTAGGGTTTAGGGTTCAGTTTAGGGTTTAGGGTTTAGGGTTAGGGTTTAGGGTTTAGGGTTTAGGGTTTAGGGTTTAGGGTTTAGGGTTTAGGGTTAGGGGTTAGGGTTTAGGGTTTAGGGGTTTTTTAGGTTTTAGGTTTAGGTTTTAGGGTTTAGGGTTTAGGGTTTAGGGTTTAGGGTTTAGGGTTTAGGGTTTAGGGTTTAGGGTTTAGGGTTTAGGGTTTAGGGTTTAGGGTTTAGGGTTTAGGGTTTAGGGTTTAGGGGTTTGGGAGGGGTTTAGGGGTTTCGGGAAGCTCTACCAGGGGATACATGAGCGAGCGGCAAGTATTCAAGGGACCAAAAGCAGACATACGCGTAAGGGCATCGGCTTTGGGATTAGGCATCGCTTTCGCAAGAGAGAACACATTTTAACGTGGAGGTATCGGTTTTTGTCTCAAACACAGGCAACTGCACGAAGCCCGCTGTATTAGCCCGGCAAGAGGCCTTAAGAACACATGTCGCTCCCTTGCCACATGTGATGACCTATGAACCTCCCCCATTGAAACGCCAAGAAGGCTCCGATGTAGCAGATGGAGCCGGCGGCACTCGAAGGACCTGAGCTCAGGACTTTGAGTCGTTCGGGGTTAAGGGAAAGGGTTGGCAGAAGAAGGGACTCTAGGATGTTGGGTATTTTCCGGAGGTGAGGGAGGGGGGGGTGCAGTGTTTAGAAAACCTTTAACAAGACTCATGCGGTGGACACCTCAAACTGAGACGCTCACTCCCTGAACCGAAGACCCGAGCTTGTAAGGCCACAGCCCCGAACACCGACAACATCAAAGCCCCCTGAGCCTGTTGGCCCTTGTGGGGGTTTACGAAGGTACGGGATGCCAAATAGAGTCCCCAAATTATAGGATGCCCTCAAAAGTAAGGACCCTTAATAAGGTACCCCCAAATATCGTAAACCCCTTGTTGACTGGTCAGGTCAAGCAGCCGGCATCCGAGAAAAACGGGATCGTCGGGCAAGTCAGGCGGGCAATGTAGCCTCAGAAGTCCGGGGCCACTCAGGTTTAGGGTTTAAGGTTTAGGGTTTAGGGTGTAGGGTTTAGGGTTTAGGGTTTAGGGTTTAGGGTTTAGGGTTTAGGGTTTAGGGTTTAGGGTTTAGGGTTTAGGGTTTCGGGTTTAGGGTTTAGAAACCCAACCCTAAACCCTAAACCCTCTACACGGGGACACACCCGGAAACTCAGGGTGGGCAGAAGACCAGCAAGGAGGCGTAGGCCTCTTAGGGTACAGGGGCTGTCTAGGCTAAAGGCATAGGCATGGGTTAAAACGCAGAAGCTGGCAAGATCTCAACAAGACCCCCCAAACTATAAAAACCCCCTGCCTTTTGGGGCTTAGAAGCAAACTTGGCTGCTGCTTTTCAGGGGCCCTTCGGGCACCCTTCGGGCTTTGGCTCAAGAGTTGGAGTTAGGGTTTCGGGTTTCGGGCTTAGGGTTTTAGGTTTTAGGGTTTAGGGTTGAGGGTTTAGGGTTTAGGGTTTAGGGTTTAGGGTTTAGGGTTTAGGGTTTAGGGTTTAGGGTTTAGGGTTTAGGGTTTAGGGTTTAGGGTTTAGGGTTTAGGGTTTAGGCACTCTTTGCATCCAGCTGTCCGGTGTTGGATGGCTCCTGTGAGGGAGAATCGCCGAGAGGGACTCAGGTTCTGCGTAGGGGTTTGCGGTGGAAAGACACCCTAAACCCTAAACCCTAAACCCTAAACCCTAAACCCTAAACCCTAAACCCTAAGTGGGTTTGTAGCATCTCCCGTTCCGCCTCAGGTCGACAGCGATAGACCTTGGGGGGCCTAAGATCGGGGCTTCAAGTAGAATGTAGGGTCTTGGGGGGGGGGGGTTCTTGTAGTAGATTTATAGAGGGGCCCTAAGGGAACAGCATTAGTAAGTGTTCCGACCCCCCATATGTTACAAGTAGGATGTTGGGGTGGCTTGCTCCAGGGGGCTCCTCGGTCATGCAATAGATGTAGTTGTCCAAGGGGTTCACACCACAGGCGTTGAAGCACTCGCCCTCGAATTGGCAGATAGGCCTCGGGGCTGCAAGGCGCAAGGGTTGCTGAAACACAGGAGAGAAGCCATGTGGCCCTATAAGAGCCACGAAGTCTCAATGCTCTGAAGAAGTCATCGAGCCCTAAAGTCTCTGAGCGTAAACCAGGAAACCCCTACAAGCATCCAACCTATCGAGCCCGGTCCCGTTCTTACCCTGCTTTGTGAGGGCATGACAGGATGGAGGGCATGGCATGATGGTGTTGCAGCTCAGAGGCCATTTGAGGTTTCAGGGTTTTGGGTTTAGGGTTTGGGGTTTGTTCAGGGTTTAGGGTTTAGGGTTCTATCACCAGTCACCAAACCATACCGTAGGGGGGCGCCAGGCCGCACGTACGTGCCAGTCGTGACGTCTAACGCCTGGATGGTTCCTGCGCAGCTGTGTAAGGCAAGGGGGCGGGGGAGGGGGGGTGCAGCAGTCGCCGCGAGAAATCCTTTTGCCAGCTCTTCATGTAGTTTGCGAGGGCAAGCTCAAACAAGCTGCCCGGCGCCTGCGAGTCTGTTCCGAAATGATGAAAAGATATTCTGCGAAGTACATTGACAACCGATCGGGATGATTTACAATGGGCACCCAAAACAAAATCCTACGAAGGATCCTATAAATTATAATGAGCTTACAACACATGTCATTCGCCTTGTGCTTTTCGGGCAACAATGCTTCACACTCCGCTCAAGCCCTGGCGCAACAAAGCTACTCCCGCCGAGACGACGGTGGGGCAAAGCGGGGCGAACAGCCGCGAAAACTCAATCACAACCGTAGGCAAGCACCGACACAAGAAACACAACAAAACCGTACAAAAAACGAGTTTAACAAGAAGGGGTTCTGATTGGTTGTGGTTCAGGGTTAGGCTTCGGCTTTTGATTCTTAAACCTTGGATCAACATGCGGAGTCCTGAACAAATTCAATCCAAGCACCAATACTTTGATACTGGTTCCTACGTAGTAGGTTGGGTTGGAGCATTCACACCCAGTCCTCGGATGCAGTTGCCATCGATCCTTGCAGTCGCAGGGTGCAGCGGGGGAAGCTCCAACACCACAAGGTGTGCGCAGATTCGAAATGAAGGAGGACACGTAAGAAAGAACCCAAAACCCCAGCAAGGCCTCTTCTAAGCAACCGAAAAACCTCGTGAAAGCCCGGGCGAAAGAAGCCCAAGACTTCTTCAACCTACACCACCCCCTGCACAGCAACGAAAGTTCAACCTCAACGTCCCAGCAGCTGCTCGTTGATCATCTGCAGCGCCAGGGTCGAGAAGGAGCTGGAATTGCTGCAGTTCCAGGCCTTCGGCCCATGGGGGGCTTTAGAGTATTTGAAGGCCCCACCAAAAGCCCAGCCCAAGCCTCTACAGTACACCCAGCAAGCACCAGCTACCCCGCCATGCACTTCATGAGAAAACAAACCCTGCTCCGAGGCAGATCTCCTCACCCCACAGTGCGGGTGTTCCTAGCTTACGGGGCCCATACGGACCCCCCAAACCCCGAATCCAATGCGCGGGCTAGCGTCGGTGGTGTTGCACCTCGGCGTGGCGCACAGCAGGGGCGAAGTTTTCGCAAACAAACACACTGAGCTGAACTCTCCAAAGCTCTGTTGGGCTTCTTGCCTTGGGCTTAAAGGCCTTGGGCTTCGGAGGGTGTAGACCATCGGGCTTCTGGATTCCGGGTAGACGTCCCCATGGCATCCAAGACGCGACTGCAGTGGTGGTGGCAGCGTGGTGGTGGAGGTGGTCGTGGAGGTGGTCACCTGAAGGGTGCGGCGGGAGAGGGGGCCTAAATATATATATATATATATATAGATAGATAGGGGGTACAAGGAGGGGAGGACGGCTTTGAGGCCACGGGGGCGAAGGCGAAGGGGGAAGTCACGCGGGGTTTTAGGACTGGAGGCTTCAAGCAAACTCCCGGCAGCAGTTCAAGCTTGCAGCGGTGGATTTAGGATTTAGGGTTTGCCCTACACCCCAAACCCTAAACCCTAAAACCCTAAACCCTAAGCCCGAAACCCTCACGGAGGGGGGGGGGGGGGGGGGGGGGGGGGGGGGAGCTTTGGGGTGTGGGGATGTTTGAAAACTCATCTCTCGGCCAGGCAGCTTCGGGAAAAGGAGTCGCAGATGGACAGTTGAGGCCGCCGTTCACTGTTGGCGTCTGGCTCGTGTTGACCTTTGAGAGAAACCCTCAATCCCAAAACCCTGGAAACCCAAACACACAACAAAACCCCGAAACCCTGAACCCAAACCCAAAGCCTTTGCCCAAAGCCCACGGCAAGCACAAACAAGCCCTCCCCCCCTCCCCCCCAGCTCTAAGATGAATCCGCCCCCTTCCGGAAGCAGGGTTTAGGGTTTAGGGTTTAGGGTTTAGGGTTTAGGGTTTAGGGTTTAGGGTGTAGGGTTTAGGGTTTAGGGTTTACGGTTTACGGTTTAGGGGGGCTCTATTCCTTATCTTTAGCAAAAGAGAAGGATCAGGACAGAAGAAGGGGGAGGCCAAGACGTTGTCTTTCTTTCTCCCATCGTCTTCCTCCTTTCTCTTCTTCGCTGATCCTTCTCTCTGTCTTGCTCTGTCTCATTTCCTTTCAGCGCTTCCTTCCGTTTCATTTCTCTTCCCCACCTCCTCTTCCCATTTTAAGAGCAATACCACTATCAACGAACCATAAATCCTGCTCGATGCGGTCATGATCCTAAAACGCCTATGTCCAAAGTCCTTAGCAGTAAAACGAAACAACAGACATGAAGACAGAGAGATACAGAAAGATGCAGAAGGTAGTGAGACAGAGCGTGGGAACTCCTCCTTCTCTCTGTTCCCTTCGTTCTCCTTTCTTAACCTTTATCTTCGTCTATCTCCCTGCTGGATGACAAAAGGAAAGGAGAAGAAAAGGGCCATGGAACGGGCACGAGCAAGAGGGGGCGAAGAAAGGAGCAGAACGAAGAAAAGAGCACAAAGTACGGAGAGGGAGAGAGAGAGAGAGAGAGAAAGAAAGAAAGAGGCTGGGGGACAGAAAGACAAAGTCAACAAGCGCGAACGGAGAGAGAGGGAGAGAGAGGACAAAAGCAGGAATTAATAGTGGAAGGAACAGAGAGAAAGATGATAGGGAGACAAGACGAAAGGGGTGAGGAAGAGAAACAGTGGATGACAAAAAGAAGAGGGGCCTGCCCTGCCCATTATCTTCCCTTCTTCGGCCGCTTGAGTTTGTTTCTCTATGTGTTCTCCCTCACTGCCTTCCTCCTTCTGCGGTTTCTCCGTTTCTCTTTCCTTCTATTTCCTTTCATTCCTCGCACCCTCGTCCTTTTCTAAACTTACGAGACATGCGCCTGCTTGTGATTTAGGGTTTTGAGAGCATGAGACACAGAAACGGTGATGGGGACCTTGCTAAAGCTTCACATCGTCATGCCCTAGAAAGAACAAGGGGGCCCTCTTTGCGATTTATGATATGGAGAGCATAACAAGGGATGACGGGGGACACCACTTGCGATTAAGGACAAGCTTTTGCACAAAGACATCCCAAACTCGTAAGTTGTTTACGTTCCTACAAGAGAAAAATTGAACTGGCTCTTCTTAAACTTTTTCAGCTTCGTAAATGTGTTAAATATATTCTCGCAGCCTACAAGACAAAATCAAAACCGAAATGATTGCTACGTTGTTTGGAAGCTACTTTGTGCCAAAAAGCAAAGGGACACGACACTTGCGATTTGCTGTTTGAGAAGGAACTTCGTGCCACAAACCCAAAGGGCACGGTGCTTGCGATTTAGGATTACGCAGGGGATTTGTTACTAAATGCCAAGCGCCGTGAAGTAGACACGCAGACCCAGGCAGATTTTGTCCAACCGTCTTTTCTCAGAAGACACGATGGACAAAATTTGGCTGGATCTTCCTCTGTGCCTTTTTGCTGATTTAAATTATTGAAATGTTTTGATTCCCGCCCCGAATTATATATTCTAAACTTAAACAACTTAAACCCTGGGAGGAGGGGCTGGGCCCCCAGGCCCAGCCCGCTTCAAATCATTTGAATAAGTTAGCTAACTTAGATAATTGCAATAATGCAAAACAAATCACATATCTTCCTCATTTAACTAAAATAGACATTTAATATTCCTGGGGGGATCCCGGGTAAGGGCGGGGGACACCGGAACGCCTGAACCAGACCCAGCCAAAGCACGAAAAGCGCCGGGCCGATGAAGATTTCGCCCGTGTTGTCCTGGAGGTTGACGCCTCGGGGCCGTCTAGGGCGGCCGTGGGAAGGAAGCGTTTAACCCTAAACCCTAAACCCTAAACCCTAAACCTTTAGGGTTCTGTCCAGGATTTATGAGCTTAGGCTTGAGGACGGTGTCCCCCAAACCCTGACCAGCTGCTTACTACGGGCCTCTCTGGTTTCCAGGGCTCGGGAGTAAGCTGAGGGTGTCAAACTTGTGCCCAAACCCTAAACCCTAAACCCGAAACCCTACACCCTAAAACCTAAAACCCGAAAGCCCTGATAAACGGCTGCCTTCATCCCACAGCAGACATCCCAGTAGCCACGTAGCCAAGTAGCCCTGAACCCTATGTAAACCTTGAACGTCCCGAAATATCCCTAAATACCCCAAAGTACCCCTTGGTCTGCAGAAACATTTGGCCGCGTCGAGTCGGAAAAACTCTCTTTGTTCTTTTGTTTGCTTTTTTCCCCGTCTTTTCTTGAGGTGGGAGGGGGGGGGAATCTTGGGCTCGCGAGCATCCCCTAATCTCCGGACAAGAAAGCCCCTGCCATGAAAGAGAGGACCAATGTGTTTATGAATAATTCCGCCAAAGCCTGAAGATATCAGGTAGAAAAAGGAATGACGGAAATATGGCAACTCGTAATAGCCATGATGTCCAAAAGAATGATAACCAGTAGAAGAAAAAATCATCAACTCTCCGCAGAGTCATGACAACATTAATATGCTAAGAAGGCCCCACGTTGCAGACCAGGCTGCTCGCAAATTCGTAGAGGATCTCGTAGATGGCATCCTCGTAGGCGCAGTAGATGGACCCGTTGAAATTCCTTCACAGGCTTCATAGTCATGAACGAAGTATGCGACTACTCATCACAAGAGGCCGGGTTCAGGGTGAAGGACCCAAGGATCACTCCAAACCCTCGGGCCCAAACCTCGCACCCAGTGCCTAATGACTCCTCGAGAGCATCTTGAACTCGGCAGAAACTCAACACTCCTCACCCAACACAGCCCACTGAGCGCCCGGCCAGGCGGTTGTCGCCACTCCCTGAGGGAGCGGGATGACGCCCCTCATGCTGAGATCCTTATTGCGGCTTACGGAGCTTAGGGAGCTTCGGGAGCTTAGGGAGCTGAGGGAGGTTCGAGATGTCATTGCTCGATGCTTAGAGTCTGTTGGGTATGTAGGGCGGGCAGCAGGGCCTGGAATTAGAGCTGCGGTCCTCGCGGAGCACATGCAAAACAAACCCTCCTTGGACCTATCAGGGCCTGCAGAACCATCCTAAGCCCTCAACATCCCGAGAGCCCAAACCTCAGGATGTCCCTCAGTCTATATGTGCTCTTCTGGGGCCCGCCAAATTGGGCTCTTCTGGGCCTACAGAGGCTCAGGCTCCTGGAAGACCAATATCAGTCAAAGCTTCGTAGCGCGCCGATCGCACGGCGTTGCTCGTCACAGCTTGTAGGAGGACCTGCTGGTTGGCGGGGCACCTTTTCCTTAGGGTCACTTTGTAAGGGAACCTTGAATCATAGAGAAAGGGTAAAGGGCACCGCTGAGCTACCAAATTTCTGGCCTTGATGCATAAATTTGGGGGGGGGGGGGGGGGGGGGGGGGGTTTTTGGGTCAGATGTCCGAAGGCTCGAAATCGTGCCTTTGGGAGGGACGCCCGAAACCCAGCTGATAAAGGCTCAAGCTTTGCTCAGCTGTGGGGTTTGAGTAATTCAAAGAGGCTTCTGGAGGAATCCGATTTTTTCCTTCAGGGTTTAAGGGCAGAGCTCACGGAAACCACTGAAATCCAGGCCTGGTCCCCGGCGCATCCAATGGCCTGGCTGCTATTTCTACGTGCTCTTCCTGCTGTTCCAAAAGGGTTCAGGGTTTAGGGTTTAGGGTTTAGGGTTTAGGGTTTAGGGTTTAGGGTTTAGGGTTTAGGGTTTAGGGTTTAGGGTTTAGGGTTTAAAAGGGTTTAGGGTTTAGGGTTTAGAGTTTAAAGCTTCTTGTAGGTTTGCTTTTTCTGGGGAAGCTCGAGCTTGAGCTCTGAGACCCCCCACGCCCGGCAACAAGGCTACTGTGCGCGGTGCGTCGTGGTCTTACACTCTTCGGGGTCCGTGCCAGCATGACTTGCTGCCCTGACATTGCGGTGCAATCTGGCTAGACCGGGATTTTGACGACAAGGTTTGGCCTTCTGCTACGTGGGCTACCAAGTCCTGCACAGTTCGAAGGCCCTGTGTTGACGCGGGCTGAGGCACTACGGGCTGCAGGCCCTGGCCGTGTTTATGGACAGGTTGGGAATTCCGTTACCACGGGCGTAAGCTTGGCTACAGTTTGTCTGGTCCTCAAGTCGAAGATCAATAACCTGCAGAACACAACACTTTCCTACGCCCCAAATCCTAATGAAACACCCAACTCTGAAAGATCAGAAGCCCGACACCCTAAACTCCAAACCCCAAACCCCTGAAGCTGAAATCCTACACAAACCAAAACGCTTAAATCCTACAGAACGCAAAGCCGAATGCCCATCGCATCTCATCATCCTCACCACGACCCGATACTGAGCACGGCCTTGACATTGAGGGTTTAACTAGGGGTTAGGAAATCTGCCACCTCTAGCAAGAGGAACATCTCTAGCCAAGACCAAGAAGTCTAAAGGCTAAAGACAAAGTCCTCTCCAGCGCCTCGATGTCCCCACTCCACACCACTCCTAACCGTCCGTCTTGCGTCCAAAGCCAAGATGCCCAGTCTTGCAAGCCCTCTGTCGCGAAGCTGAACCTTCCCAGGTGTGGCGGGGAGGGTTGAGGGTCTGGCTACTATAACCGTTTTCATGTTCCCGACTGAAAGAATGCAAACATCACAACACATAATATGGGAAGAAAAAGAAGAAGAGGGTAGGGATTAAGGCTTAAGGACTGAGCGTGCAGGGGTTCCAAGTTCAGATCCCCACTCAGAAGCCTTGTCGCCAATTTGATCCCTACTACACATGTAGTGCTGAGAAAATTTCTGAGAACAAGAAAGCGTATATCGTCCGGACTTCCGCAGGCTCTCTGAAACAAAAGTCCTACATGCTGGCTCATGGAAGGCCTTTGGGGAGCTTCCTCAAACGAGGCCTCTATATATTTTGCAAGATGATAGAAGATCTGGATATGAACCGTTGAGTTGAGGTTGGCACCAGTTTCAATCCCCTCCCCTCCCCTATACAGTGTTTGAGCGTGGGGATCCCATGTGCGTAGTGCGCCGGCGAGCCTTGACAGCTTGGAGGTTCATGGTGCTTATTAACCAATTCTAACTGTACCTATAACTGTACTTATAACTGTACTTATAACTGCACTTATAACTGTACTTATAACTGTACTTATAACCATATTAGGGCACTTAAGGGGCTTGTAAGCGGGATAGAATTAGTACAGCCGTGATTGGTTAATAAGTACCCCTGAACCCTAAACCCTAAACCCTATACCCGAATAAGCCCCGCATGACGCCCGGCTTCACCCCTGGCAGCCACCACTGTGCAGTCTTGACATGGGAAGTCCCGAGTGACTTTGGAGGTGCATGGTGCTTATTAACCAGTTATAGCTGTATATACTTATAACCCGCTTATTTTCGGGCTAAGGGTTTAGGGTTTAGGGGTAAGGGTTTAGGGTTTAGGTTTGCTACGCTTTCTTCGACAGAGCTTGTCGTCTTAAGCTGCAACCTGAACCCAAAAACACCATCGAAGGCCCAAACCTCACAGACCCAAAGTTCCGAGAAAACTCATCGATCGACCGTTCGGGGTTGCCAGCGCTGGCGCACGAGATAGATGCAGAGTAGCAGATGCAAACATCAGGCTACTCATTGTTGGCCTGGCAAGGGACGCATGATCAGATTGGTGGCAAAAGCCCACAAGCCCGCAAAGCTCCACACTAGAACCACTCTGGGTAGTCGGGCCACGGGTCCTGGGTTGCCGCAGTGTTTCCTGCATTTTCCCGGTGTTTCCTGCACTTTTCTCGTTGTTCGGCTTTGGGGGGGGGGGGGGGGGGGGATAAGAACGCCATTCATATTGCATCCATGCACATAACACTGGTATTTACCGCGTGCACACTGCACAAGGATGTGCAACAAGACACGTTGTCACAAGCGTCCATGCTTTTCGCAACGATGCCCAAAGCACCGGTATTTACCGCGTTTGTCCTCCTTGTACCATACTGCACAAGGATGTGGAACAAGCAAAGCTGTCACAAGCTTCCATGCCTTTGGCGTCCATGCCAAAAACACTGATATTTGCAGCGTTTTCGCTTCTTAACTGCGCAAGGATGCGGAGCAGGACACGTTGTCACAAGCGTCCGTGCCAATTGCGACGATGCCCAAAACATTGGTATTTGCCGCATTTTCGCCTCGTTGTACAACATACTGCACAAGGATGTGGAACAAGAAAAGCATGGCATGGAGTTTCGGGACGTGCTTTATGAATCTCAACTTTAAGATCATCTGTGCTCTGTTAAGCTTGGGAAACCACAGAATACTAAAAACCAGAAAATTCAAAAAAAACAATTCACTTCCGCGAAATTTCAAGAGAAAATCAAAAACAGCCAAAACCCACAGAAAAACACCAAGAAATACAGCCCAGCACCTCAGAGACAAGTGTAAGAGCAAAACCCTCGCCTGACTTCTTCTGAAAATTATTTGAATCTGGCCCGGGACTGAAGAAATCTGAAAAGCACTTGAACATTTATTATTTCAGCAAAACCCAGTCTTTTCAGGGACAGACTATCTTAATCTTAACTCCCTCTGAATGGGTGCCTTGCTTTGGGGTTCACCTTGGCCCAGCGTGCTTGCGTCAGCAATCCAAGCCGAGGTAAAGAGCTTCCGAGCTGGGGCGCCCAACTATTCTGAATCTGCGGCCAGGCCTTCCAGTCGAACTGATGGGGTCCACGTTGTAGCTGGTCGGCGCGCTGCACGAAGGTATCTGTCTCCGCTGTCGTCTTGTTTGGTGGCATTGTCTGGGAAGGGGAGGAAGGCAGCACCTCACCACACATGGCAGCTCTGGACTTGCAAACTATACTATCGGCTACCCATTGCTGGATTGAATGAACAACATCCGTCATGGAAAGTAGGCGAACAAGCTAGCTATGCACTGCACAAACCTGCAACTGCACTGTCTTCCACTACCTTTCCACCGCCAGAAGGCTGCACCCATCGCAACATTGGCTTCGTGACCCGTGGGCCAGCCCCGAAGCCGATTTTCAGCAGGCATGTTGAAGCAAACGTGGTCTTCCCAGCTAGAGATGAGGCCGGCGCATTGCTGAAGCTGACGGCACATTCGTCCTGGCCAGGGCCCATCTCCACCGTGGATTCGGCAGGCAGTGTCGGCAGTGGACTTGTGGGCGGCGCAGAAGCAGAAGGCACCGGCACGCTTCCGCCCATCTCTAGCGCGGTTTCAGGAGGCAGTGTCGGCGGTGGACTTGACGGCGGCGTCGGAGCAGAAGGCACCACGCTTGCGCTACTTTGCCGTAGCAGCCCACGCAGAAGCACCTAACGCTGTGGACCAACCAAGGCACGCAAGATTTGCCGGTGCAGGCATCCCTGTTGCATGACGTTTCCCGTTGCTTGCAGAATCCAAGCTTCTTTTCAATGCATGACCGTGTAAGCCCTTCTGAATCCTGCCGTCAGTTTCCTCCGTCCCCAAGCGATACATAGAGACATCAAGGGACGACTCACTGCACATCGCTGGAATCAACACCTTTGCAGTCTAGTCATCCAAGTAGCGAAGGGATGAGCTTTTGCAGACCGCCGCCGGAGGATGATGCACGCCTCAGCTCAGGTGTAGGCCAACCTACACCCACGACTTGAGATTTTTTTTAGGACCATGTCAGCTTTTGCGCAAGCCAGAAATCAGAATCGAACCGGTCCGCCTTCCCCATAGCTCGACTTGAACATCCGATCCGTATGATCATGATTCAATGATGATGCTATGCACTTCACTCACGTACGGTGGCTGAGCGTGGCACGCTGTAGCAGCCCACGGCACAGCAGCATGCAGATATCACCGCAGCCACCGCCTTTGGTGGACAAGGGCACTTGTCAAGAAGGTCTTGCAGTCTTGCGCGGGC